TGAATACATCAGAAATTAATAACAATTTTTTCATTAGTCCTGGACTGATTTGTATGAACCCTCACACTTCTCCTGCATTCTGATCTGTTTTGCCCTTGTTAGAATCTGGTCAGCTTCTTGGTTTTGTGTCTGTTTACCAGATCATACTCTTCTGCCCCATAATTTAGACCCAACTCCAGTTGGGGTAATTATACAGGTTGTACTCCTAACAACACATAAATTATCCCTCTGGGAAAGTCAGACCACCGCTAACAAAGAAAGTATAAATTGTGTGACTCAGTACTACTGGTTGGACCACTTTGCATTGGGTATTGTGTGATCTACGATTCCAGTTAATATGTACTACTAATCTCACAGCTCAAATCAGTCTGTAGGGTACCGGTCTGCCAGTAAAGGCATGTGGATGCATTCTCTTAAATAAATCCAGCTTTAATCCTTATGGGGGTGGTTGGGATTGGTCCATGTTTCTCCAAAAACTTGGTTTATACTGGCTATGTGGTAATGGGGCCTGGAAATTTTACTGGGACATTGGACAAGTACCTGTATCATAGGTAGGGTGTTTCCAGCAGTATGTAGTTTTACAACTCTCTCTGGATTTGCAACGTGCAACCATTTTCCATAATAGCAAAAAAAAGACAAAGGGGCTTCTCTCCCCACGGATGGAATTGGTTTGGTCGTTTCATGTTTCCTGGTTAGGCAGCTGTCCCAAAACTGTGACTCTGTGCTTGCCCTACCTCCGTCACCCACTCACCGTCACCCACTCCCTCACGCTTGAAAGAACCCAGCTCTAAAACAGGCACCCTATCGCTCTCACACAGAAGTGGCCAGAACTGAAAGCTATTGGTGGCTGTCTCCTTCCCTTCACAGCCTCATCAACATGCATGCTCTTCACTTGCTCTAACACCTAATCCTTACCCTTGCCAGGACTCAGCTCCAAAATGGTCACCTACCACCTAAGGCTTGCACAAAGAAGTAACCAGGACTGAAAGGAGTTGTTGCCATCACCTTTCCTTGGCACCCCTTTCATAGTCCAACCAACACTGAGGCTCTTTGCTTGCAATACAACCTAAGGCTCACCCTCGCCAGAGCCAAGCTCCAAAATTGGCATCCACGACCTAGGGCTCCCAGACACAAGTAGCCAGGACTGAGAGCTGTGTGTGGCCCTCATCTTCCCTTTGCAGCCCCCTCACAGCCCAACACACTGGTGATCTGCCCTTGCCCTCCCATTTAATTCTCATCCTTGATGGAACCCAGCTCCAAAACATACAGTGGTGGCCTCTGTTCGAGCTTGGTTGAGCATTACGTTGTATAGTAAGCAAAAAGCCTGACTGTTGGTGGGCCTCTGAAGGGCAAACAGCTTTCAGTCCCAGCCACCTTTGTGTTGGATTTCTAAGAGGTCAATGTCCATCTTGGAGATGGGCTCTGTTGAGCTTGAGGGGGTAGGTGAGAGTGAGGTTTAGGAGATAGAGCAAGAACAGAGCATCGATGTTGGTAGGGCATTAATGGAGTTGCCAAAGGAAGGTGAGGGTCACCAACAGCTTTCAAACCTGGCCACTTCTCTGAGGGAGTCTTCTGGGGTGCTTGTCCATTTTGGAGATGGGTTCCATCAAGAGAGGGGTAAATATTACAGCAAGGGCAGATACCAGTGCTGGTGCAGGAGGGGAACAAGCAGGCCCAGCCTCTGTAGCAAGCTGTGCTGTGCCTGACAGGTTGCCCAGGTATGCTGGGCGTGCTCGAAGCAGTCGCCATGGGCCGTGGTGGAGCAGATCTCTCCCCAGCTGACTCTGGGAGCAGGGTGGCAGCCACCTGCAGGTCTGAGGGCTGCCCTGGGGCCTGGCAGGGGAGCCTGCCTGCAGGAGCTTTTCCACCTGGGATGTGGAGGTGTGAGAGCAAGGACCACAGTCACAGGGCTTGTATCCTCATTTGCTAAATGTTTATTCCAGCATTTGAATGTCCCAGCACCCATTGGTCTCAGTGTAGTCTTCAACAGTCTATTGTATCGTTCAGTTTTCCCAGAGGTTGGTGCCTGATAGGGAATGTGCTGTACCCACTCACTGCCATGCTCTTTGGCCCAGATGTCTATGAGGTTGTTTTGGAAATGAGTCCCATCATCTGACTCAATTCTTTTGGGGGCACCATGTCACCATAAGATTTCTCTTTCAAGGCCCCGGATAGTGTTCCAGGTGGTGGCATGGGGCACAGGACATGTTTCCAGCCATCCAGTGGTTGCTTCCACCATTGCAAGCACATAGCATTTGCCTTGGTGTGTTTGTGGGAGTGTGATACAGTCAATCTGCCAGGCCTCCCCATATTTATATTTCAACCATCATCCTCCATACCAAAGAGATTTTAACCACTTGGCTTGATTGCAGCGCACATTTCACATTCATGGATAACATGTGCAATAGCATCCATGGTCACTCATTGACCACGAGTCCATCAATATGTTGCATCTTCCCTAACGGTCTGAGGTGTCATGGGCCCATCGAGCTATAAATAATTCATCCTTACGTTGCCAGTCCAGATCCACCTGAGCCACTTCAATCATAGGAGCCTGATCCACCTGCTGGTCTTTTTGATATTCTTCAGTGGCCCGACCCTTGGGAACATGAGAATCTACGTGGCGCACTTTTACAACTAAGTTCTCTACCCAGGCAGCGATATCTTGCCATAATTCACCAGCCCAGATAGGTTTATCCCTGTGCTACCAGTTGCTCTGCTTCCATTGCTGTAGCTACCCCCACAGAGCATTTGCCACCATCCAAGAGTCAGTACAGAGATAAAATATTGGCCATTTTTCTCATTCAGCAATATCTAAAGCCAGCTGGATGGCTTTCACCTCTGCAAACTGACTCAATTGACTTTGTCCTTCAGCAGCTTCTGCAACTCATCATATAGGGCTCCATATAGCTTTCACTTCTGCAAACTGACTTGATTCACCTTTTCTTTCAGCAGTTTCAGCGACTTGCGTAGGACCCCACACAGAAGCTTTCCACCTCCAGAGTCTTTCCACGACAGGGCTAGCTGCTTTTTCATTTACTGGTAATTTATTTTAGAGTGGGACCTCTTCAGCATAAGTCACCTCCCCTGGCTACACTCCAAATTTTCAGCCCTCTGGCCAGTCCATGATCACTTCCAAGATTTATGGGCAGCCGGGGTTTCCCATTTGAACCCATTGCGTTATCAGTACAACCTGCTTACTCCACATAGCATCAGTTGCATGATACGCAGAGAGGACCCTCCCTTTGAACATCCAGCTCAGCACAGGCAATTGAGGTGCCAAGAGGAGCTGTGCTTCAGTACCAACTATTTCTGAACCGGCTCAAATTCCTTCATATGCTGCTATTATTTCTTTTTTCAGATGGAGTGTAATGGGATTGATAAAGGCAGGGCAGGAAGTGGGGAGCAGGGAGAGGTATTCTTGACAACAAGCAGGGTGACCTGCTGTACATGAAACTCAAAACTGTTGTCCCAAATATGGGTTCTTCCACCCAGTGTGCAGAGAGCCGAAAAACACACAGAGACAAGATATTTGCTTTTATTTCAAATCTGTGCAGAGTTGAGTGCTAGGTGGTAGGCCACAAAGCTAGCATGCTTCAGTTAACACACAAAATATTTATATACTTCGAGGCAACAGTTATCAGTATTTTTTACAAGTTGGCTCTGTTACCCTTGTTCCCCTTGGTTCTCACAAGCCTTGTCTCCACTTAAAGTCACAGCATCCTCCTTTTTTTCTAGACATGCTCCTTGAGGAAGGGGCTTTCCCCACGCAGGGACAGGCTTCTATTATGCATATTATATGTTAATTAGGATAGGTCACTCAAGGTTGAGTAGCTGTGTCTCTTTTGTAATTATCTTGTTCCTTCCCTCAAGGATGCACCTTGTTAAGTGCTCACAGAGACTAAACAATACCCCCAGCTTCATTCCTTGCATGCCTTCAACAAAACTAGCTAGGAGAAATCAGAAACTTTCATTTACTATACCTACACAGACACAGTTAAATTGAAACAAAGAAGCCTGGTTCATTGCCACAGTTGGTATAAAATTGGCATATATTAATTATTCAAAATTACTAATCCCCTTAGCAATTTGTTAACAGCAGACACAAACACTGTAACACACATTCAGTCATGTTCTAGATTAAAAATTTAAGTCATCTGACTAGACCTTCTCATTCTATGGTGGAAACTGTTTGAATGTGCTTTCGGCAACCTGACCTTTTGCATTTATTTTAGTTTCTATGAAACCTCAGTGACAGAGGCACAACTGCAATCAATATTTAATCAGAAAGAGCTCTGATCTCACTAAGGGCCAGAGAGTTTTGCAGAAATTCACACTTTATCTAACAGGTTTGAGACATCATCTACCTACCACTTACTTTTAACAAAAACAGCCAAGAATTACTCAAGAAACTCTTCTGGGGAGAATGCCTGAGCCCACGTTGAAGTCTTTCTCAGGTCTGCCCCTTTTCCTGCCTGTATGTCATCCAGGCAGAATGAGAAGACTTTGGCTCATGGGCCTGGATTTTTCTTGTGATCTGGTAATCCCAGACAGATGTATACTTAGCAGCTCTTCAGCACACATACAGGGTCATGGCATATCAGCTACCCAGATGAAAAAGAATCCATTGCTCACTGGAGTCACTGAAGACACACTATGAAGCACCATGTATAAATATCGTTCAGAAAATTCCAGACAAACATAGTGAGTCAGTCCCATGAAGGGCCTAGAACTGCATCTTCCCAGGCACAGATGTTTATCTGAAGTCTAAGAAGGATACCCTGACTGACTTGTGCATCACCATGGACTTTCTATCATCATTTCTTCTTGCTCACTCTTGCCCATTTTAGAAATGGCCTTAAGGTCTTCTTTATTTGAAGTACTTAATGCTAAAATATTAGAATTTTCTGGAATCCTCTGAAACGCATTCTTAAACTCAGATTCATTTACTACTACATAAAAAATTTAAGTGGAGTCAAGAAAGGAAGTGTATCGAGGTATTACAAGGAATCTTGAAGTCTAGTTTTTGAAGCAAAGTCAGCACTGAGTTTCCGCATGACTTCTGCATGGCTTAGACCATGCTGCTCTCTTTTAGTGAGTCCATAGTTTTCTTTCACATACTTTGCAAAGGGCGTTAGATGTGTCCTAGCAGGAGTGCCGTCCTTCCGAGTGGCCTGACTCAGGACCAGCTGCCCCCCACAGAACGCACACATGAAGCGCTCTGTGTCCAGAGATTTGGAATGACGTCCAATTCTGAAATGAAAAAAAAGGACATTGATTTCACACTTGCAGTAGACAGTCCTTGTGGGAAAGGGCGCCCTTCTTCTGCCAGGCTACTTAGGTCAGATTTCTAAGCAAGCATTTTAGAACATTTAGAAGCAGACTACATACTTCACGCAGTGGAACAATCAAATCTGTATTACACATTTCTCTACCTTAGAACATTTTCCACTGCCTTTTTCAGCTTCGATCTTTCTCGTCTCTTTTACTCTCAGCCTACTAGTATGAAGTGCTACAACATTTTGAAACACCTCCACAACCCATGTATCAACTACCCCTTGGACTTTCTCCTCAAAGCCATCACACCATCAAATCTTCTCAATGCTCTGTTGCATCTAAGCAACTAATGCATTACACAGTCATATTAAACACTTCAGGAAGATTTTTTCATATGTGAAATACTGTTTCCTTCCAGTGCTTCTGGAAGCAGCACATATGATCCTAATAAAAAAAATCCCATGCATGCTTCCTGAGCATGTGTTTAGCCTGTAAAGTTGGTGGAGGGGATAATTTTTTTTTTAATAAAAAAAAAAAATAATTAAAAAAAATAAAAAAATTACACCATTGTCAGCCACTTTCCTGGGCTATGCAGAACTGAAGTCACTAACCATCATGGTCTCCCACTGAGACTGAAGTCATTACATACAGAAGCCTGCAGTCAGCTATGATCTTCCAGAAAAGGCAACACCTTCTATACCCATGAAAGGTATGAAACCTGTGAATTTACTATAGCAACTATTTCTTCTGCTTGATCTCAGCAATACATATCGTTCTTATTTCACAAATGCAATAAGGAAGATAGAAGTCTGATGTTGCAACAACCAATGTTGCAATCTGTCAGTAGATCTGTGTCCTAGCTTCAATCCTTCACATCACAGTGCTGCTAACATCTGTGTGGTTACAGACATCTATTTAATACATTAAATTAATCTTTAATACATACACAAGCTGAAAGACTGCATGAGGTAAAAGATCAACTAGAAAACTGACTATAGCTTTTATAGAGTTTTAAACTAATAGAAATCATTATATAGTTGATCTCTACATTTTACTTAGCATTACCATAACAAAGATACAAGATTAGTCAAAATGTTTAGTCGTAATTCAAAGTCATCAAGATACAAAACCCAGAAAGCTTCCTCTGATACTATGCTCTAACATCTAAATACTGTCACACATTTTGTGCCCGGTTTTTATGGGAACTTGTTCTGCTTTTGAATTCCAGTTACTACTGACTTCTTTCAGCATCAGATGGTCCTCAGTATCTTTACAAGGATGAGCATATAAAAAGTAACTCAGTTCACCATGCCAAGTCTAGCACTTCCTTGTGGACTGTTTTTCCTTAGATCAAATCTAGATTGTTGTCATGGCACAAAGATGTTACTTTGTAAAATGTGGATAGATTTCAAAAATTTGAAATGCTTTCTTTCTGCAACACATGCTAGCACTTTGCTTACATGCATTCTACAGGGATGTGCCAGATCCAGTCATTGCTCTGTCTGTGTAGGTTCATGGAAGTATTACTCCTGATGTAGTTACTTAGTTAAGACTGGAAATACCACCCCCTACCCAAAAAGCCTATCAAAGGATCAGTGTTGATCATGAAATCAGAGATAAGCAAAAACGTTTACAGGTTCACTCAATATTAACTACTGTAGAAGGTGAATCCAAATTTACATCATTTGAGCAATGTTTGAAAAGTAAGAGCACCCACGTGGGGTGTGACCTTCCCCTGTTACATCCTTCAAAGCTGAGGCATGTATTCTGATATCTTACTGCTTCCCAAAAGCCTTCCAACATCATCAATGGTCCTCGGAAGACACTTCTGCCTGTCCTGACCTCTGAACTGGAACTGAAACTACCTGGAAACAAATATGTGGAATCATGTAGTGAGGTTCTGTGGACTCAGGAAACGTGAAGTGACAACTTGGAGAGTATCCCAACTGCTCCACAGTTTGAGAGACCCATGATTTCTAGACACAGGAGACTGCCAATTTAGAGACAAAGTTAATACATAGTCATATGCAAAATCAAAACATTACTCACATAGCTTTGCACAGAACACACTCATAGATGAATTTGTAATTAATTTCATAGCTGTGGCATCGTGTTACTACTGGCAGTTCCGGATGAATCACAGCTGATTTATTGGCGTAGAATCTCCAGAATCGTCCATGTCCATCGCGAACACCATTGATCAGCCAGGTGGCTGCATGGCAAACCTCATGAATTAGCGTGTCTCGAAGACGATCTTGGGGTAAGGCAAACAAAAAGCATTAAGATCAGTCAGATATGGGGAAGTACAGATTTCTATCCTTGGTCGCTGCTTCAAACCTTTGATGCTCTTTCTTTATTAAGATGCAAGAGTTATTTTGGAGGCTGAAATTACCAATGTTTTGATAAGATAAAGTGCCCCAAAACAAGGTTTTACTCAGTGCATTTTCAGTTTTGTGATTAGCCCTAATTCTACATTCTAGTTACTTCTCGGCACACCTAATCTGTTTGAGTTTTCTGTTTGGGTTTTTTTTGAGACCTGAAACACCTTTATTTAGATCAAGATTAATTGATTGTTTCTCTAACATTGATATTTTTCATCCTGAAACACTAGAGCAGAGCACTGGATTTTCTCCACAATTAGAATAGAATATTTCAGTTGGAAGGACCTGCAATGATCATCTAGTGCAACAGCTGTAAAAGTTAAAGCACGTAATTAAGGGCATCGTCCAAATGCCTCATAAACACAGACAGCCATGGGGCATCAGCCACCTCTCTAGGAAACCTGTCCTGGTGTTTGACCACCCTCTCAGTAAAGAAATGCTTCCTAATGCCCAGTCTGAACCTCCCCTGGTGCAGCTTTGAACCATTCCCACATGTCCCATCACTGGATACCGGGGAGAAGAGATGAGCACCTCCCTCTCCACTTCATCTCCTCAGGAAGCTGCGGAGAGCAATGAGGTCTCCTTTTCTCCAAACTAAACAAAAACCCAAAGTCCTTAGCCACTCCTCATAAGACATTCCTTCCAGCCCTTTCATCAGCTTGGTTGACCTCCTCTGGATGCTTTCAAGGACCTTCACATCCTCCTGAAATTGTGGGGTCTGGAACTGCACACAGTATTCAAGGTGAAGCCACACCAATGATGAATACAGCAGGATAATCACCTCCTAACCAGTTGGTTAGGCTGTGTTTGATGCACCCCAGGATGCAGTTTGCCCTCTCGGCTGCCAGGGCACACTGCTGACTCATATTGAGCCTGCTGCCAACCAGCACCCCCAGATCCCCTTCTGCATGGTTGCTCTGCAGCCACTTCTCTCCCAATTTATTCTTGTGTCTGGCATTACTCCACCCCAGGTGCAGAATTCTGGCATTTGGACTTGTTAAATTTCATCCCATTGATCATTGCCCAATGCTCCAATCTATCTAGATCCCTCTGCAAGGCATCTTCTCCCTCAAGAGTCAACAGCACCTTTCAATTTGGTATCATCAGCAAACTTGCTAATGGTGCATTCAACTCCTGTATACAGATTGTTGATAAATATATTGAATAGGACTGGCCCTAGAGTTGAACCCTGAGGAACACCACTGGTGACTGGTCACCAGCCAGATGTAGCCCTATTCACTGCAACACTCTAAGTTCTGCCATTCAGCCAGTTCTTCACCCAGCGCACCATGAACTTGCTCGTCCCACAGTTGGACAACTTGTCCAGAAGGATGCTGTGAGGGTCAGTATCAAAAGCCTTACTAAAATCCAGAAAAACTACATCCAATGCCTTCCCTCCATCCACTAGGTGGGTGACCCTATCATAGAAGGATTATTAGCCTAGTTAAACAGGACTTTCCCTTTGTGAACCCATGTTAACTGTGCCTGATGATCGCATTATTCTTTAAATGCCTTTCAGTAGTACCCAGTACGATCTTCTCCATAATTCTTCCAGGAGCTGAGGTGAGACTAACAGGTCTGTAGTTCTTGGGTCTTCCCTCATACCCTTCTTGTAAATTGGAATAACACTGGCAAGCTTCCAGTCAGCAGGGACCTCCCCAGACTCCCAAGACCTTTGGTAGATGATCGAGAGGGGTCCTGCCATAACATTCACTACCAGCCAGATGTAGCCCTATTCACTGCAACACTCTAAGTTCTGCCATTCAGCCAGTTCTTCACCCAGCGCACCATGAACTTGCTCGTCCCACAGTTGGACAACTTGTCCAGAAGGATGCTGTGAGGGTCAGTATCAAAAGCCTTACTAAAATCCAGAAAAACTACATCCAATGCCTTCCCTCCATCCACTAGGTGGGTGACCCTATCATAGAAGGATTATTAGCCTAGTTAAACAGGACTTTCCCTTTGTGAACCCATGTTAACTGTGCCTGATGATCGCATTATTCTTTAAATGCCTTTCAGTAGTACCCAGTACGATCTTCTCCATAATTCTTCCAGGAGCTGAGGTGAGACTAACAGGTCTGTAGTTCTTGGGTCTTCCCTCATACCCTTCTTGTAAATTGGAATAACACTGGCAAGCTTCCAGTCAGCAGGGACCTCCCCAGACTCCCAAGACCTTTGGTAGATGATCGAGAGGGGTCCTGCCATAACATTCACCAGCTCCTTCAGTACTCTGGGTTGAATCCCATCAGGTCCCAAGGACTTGTGAGCATTCAGCTGATACAGCTGGTCCCTTACAATTTCAGTGTCCACAAATGGAAAGTCACTGTTCCCACACTTGTAGTCCTCCAACTCAAGGGACTGGGCGGCTCAAGGTCTATCAGTATTATTAAAGACTGAGGAAAAAAAAAAAACACTGAATGCCTCTGCTTTTTCCTTATCCCTATTAGTCAAATGACCATTATCAACAAGCATTGGTCCAACCTTTTCTTTAGACCTCCTCTTGCTATAATAGTACTTAATGTACTTTTAATGTACTTAAAAAAGCCCTTCTTGCTGTCTGACACAACACCGGCCAGTTTCAACTCTAATTGAGCTTTGACCTTTCATGTCTTCTCCCTGCATATACGAACTACAGCTCTGTAATCTTCCTGCAATGCCTGACCTCACTTACAGAGACCATACAATTTCTTTTTCCTCTTAAGCTCCATAAGGAGTTCCCTGTTCAGCCAAGCTGGTCTTCTGCCCTGCTTGCTTGACTTCTGACACAATGGGCTCCTGTGCTTCTAAAAAACGGACCAGCACTCATGGACTTTTAAGCCCTCAAAAGCAGATTCCCAGGGTACTCTGTTGTATCTCTCAAATCAAATTTATTAAGCTTACTTCAAAATATTCTATTCATTACAGAACTGGTTCTCCTACAGTAACTGCAACACTCATTTCCCCAGCTTGGGACAGGAAAATGGAGAAAAGTTACAGTACTCACCACATAACAGAACTTAATTTGACAGTGACCTGTCTTTATTCCAGCTTTAAATACTACCAACAAGGTGGCTAGCTATGATGGAAGAAGTCAGATTTTAGATTGCCATTACAGTGCATATAGAATTAGAGTATAGGTCTTCAAATCAATAAGAAATATAAACAAAACACTGCAGTTAGCATGAATACATCTCTGTTCTCACATTTTGTAAATTTGCACAGCCTCTTAGAAGGACTGTGAGGACAAGTACTACCATTAATGGATTTCTTTATTCAAGGTAATATGAAATTTCAAAACAGGGTCCAGTTCCAGATCTCTTAGGCCTCAGATTCACGTTTTTATCTCTAGAACTCGCTTTCTCAAAGAACAACCAACATATCGTTTCTTTTACCCACCTGCAGAGTCGCAGACTTTCTCTGAAAGTTCTATGCGAGCGTAACGCTTTGCTTCAGGACCTTCTGTCTGTCCAGTTACACAATATCCAGCTGTTTTTCTCATTTTCTTATTCCAGATTATTATCATTTTCTCTGGTAACTGAAAAACAGAACAGTGCACATAATCTGCCCTCTCCTACCTCTCTTCTTCTGGCCCTCTGGCCTCCCCTTATATTTACTGCAAAGCCAGTAGAGAATGTCTCTGTTAGTGCCCTTAACACTGTAGTCACTTAAGATGCAAACCTAACCTCCATGGCTTCTTATTCCCATCATCAGTTTTTCTGTAACCAACACTGGGAGTTACACAATGCAGGATGAGACAAAAAGTCCCTTAGTTCCCTCTATTCTCCAACAGTGGCTAACACATGCTGCTTAAGAGGAAATACAAGGCCAGGCCAGGCGTAAAACAGAACTTCCTCTTCAAAAAAAAGTACTCTTTCCAACTACTAGTCATTTGCAAGACACCACCTCACTGAGCCACAGGTGGTTCCTTTGTCTTAAATAGTCCTCAGAGTTGTTTTCTGGTGTTTTGGGGAGAGAGTGTGTGAATGTGTTTAGGGGGGAGAGTATGTACGCAAGTTCAAGAACACATATGCATCGTTAGCATCCCCAATAGTCTATGATCAGAAGTTCTACAGCTTAATAATTTACAGGTCAAGTACCATCTGTTTTGGTTGTTCTGAACCTGCAACTTGCCATTTTAATTTGATGCACCTTCACACTGTGAGAGGGTGAATAATCACCCCTTGATTATCCTTTGTGCCGCTTCTGATTTTGTAAGTCCTCGTCATATCTATCTTGGTTAGCCCTGTTCTTTTTCTTTTACTAACAGTTTTCTGCCATCTAAATGAGTTAATGAGCTTAGTAAGTGCCAGCATAGGTACGGGGCTGAAGCACTGGGGAGTGAGATATTTTGCCTTCAGCAACAGTGAGCCTGTTCAGCTCAGCTTTATGTGAAATCATGACCTCAGCCTGTCCTTGGTTAGTTCAACAATATTTTCTCAGCTGCACAGAAACTTTTCCTTCCTGAAGGAAATTCCATTGTAATTACCGAGGGCAGTGTCCTTCCTTTCTCACCAGAGGAGGGTCTCCAATATCCCAGAAGATGTAAAGGTCAAGACAGTGGTTCCCTGAAATTGAACCTTCAATTTGAAACACAACTTATAGCTTTAGGTTCACCCAAAACTGTTATTCAAAGGATAAGCAGCTTTTTAATCTGTTCCAGCATGGCAGACATGAACATGTAATAGGAGTGAATAAAGACTGTGTGTAGCATGACTAAGCATGAAACAACAGGCCCTAACAACAAAGGGAAGTGTTTTTATCCACCAGCTCCCTGCTCCCCAGCATACGTTCCTGCCACTTGGCTTTTGTCAGCTGCAGGCAAGAAAAGTTGTGCTACAACTAGCTATTAGGCTGTGGTAATGCTTCACAGTTCACTAGTACATGTTACTTCAGTAAAAGCTGAATAAGCAATGGTGGTAGGCAACCTTGAGCTTCTTTCAGCAGCAGAAAGCCATAGCTGCTTTTGCTGGGGTCTACTACCACAGAGGCAGCAACAGAAACATTCCTGGGCTGCTGAGTTGATGACCATGCAGGTACTAGAAAATACAGGAAGATGAATATCAGTCACCTCGTCAAAGACAAAACTGATCCAAGGCCCCTCATGTAGCAGTTTCTCTCATCAAGGACTCTTGGAGATCATCCAGACTGCTCACTTAAGGATGGTACACCATTACAGCTGGGAAAGCAAGCCAAGCTGAAAGCCACTGCATCACAGTGGCGATAAACCCCTTCCAAAGAAATTGCTTGAACTAATTCAAGCATAAGCCATTGCCATAAAGCTTCACTTCTACTAACTGAAGAGGATAAAGACCATCACATCAAGAAGTGAGGCACAACATATTAATCAGCATTTCAGAATTGTAGTTTTTTGTTTTGAAGCTAACCTTCTGCTCAAAGATGGTGCTATTGTACAGACAGTAGAGCTTCTGTGCCAGCTCCTCTTTATTTTTCTTGAAATACTTCACATAGTGGGAAGCTGGATTTGAGAGATCTTGCAAGAAACAGCCAGGCACTGAGCACACCCTGAGCCTGCAAAAAAAGCCATAAAGCAGTTTACTGAAGTACAGAGATACCACACTGAAAAATAACGTCCACTTTATAGCCAATAAAGATCCCTGGGATGCTGCCACTGGCATAAACCTCTCCCAACTTTTCACCAGCTTGCCCTCACAAGGCCAGTGGGGCACACATGCTTATACTGTCTTCTTCACCCTTCAGGGCATGAAGAGGCAGAGCTGTTGCAGTAGTTCTGCAGTTATTTCATTAAATCACAAAACTAGATTGAGGACTCCTAAGTAGGAAAAGAGGGTGGCTCAGATCTTTGTGAAACAGTGAACCACAATTATACCAAAACTTGATCAATATATGAACAGCCCTAACATGATCAACAACAATAAAGGTATATTTTTAGAAACATAGCCAAAGATGTTCTGGGAAACCTCAGGAATCCATACAGGGGAAGTAGATACTCCACTAGGATGACTAGCTCAAATACGGCAGCAAAGACATCATTTAATGGTTTTGTAGTGGTATACACAATTATAAAATGACTAAAAGAAACATAACATGGCTAAAAGGCAGAATAAAGGCAGCTATTGGAAATGGAAAAGGCATTCTTCTGAAAAGCTAAGGTGTATCCACGTATAGAAAAAGAAACATGAATTCTGCAAGTTATAAGGATACAGGTCAAAAATATCAAGATAAGCTTGTTAAAAGGCATGAATTACTAATAGAATCAGTTTTGATATATATTCAGAGGCAGGCAGCTGGATAGATTGAATCGGTAGGGCCAGCACACGTTAAAGTATGCTGTGTCAAGACAAGGAATAGCAAGAGAGTAATATTTACAAAGAAGATTTGATATTTGTCAGATTTATTTGTCATCAATAAGCAGATACCAGCTTATATTCTCCCTGTCGTACCTAAGACTGAACACTTTGATTTCCAGCTACTTAACCGTTAACAACTGCTGAACTGACAGCAGAAGTTTCTAGGTATCAGAAAAATCAGAATGTCATACTAGGCAAAATGCTCAGCATCTCTTTGTCCACCTGTAATGGTCCTAGAACGTAGTAAAGATGGAGAAACACTTACCTTTTCTCTGTCTTTGCTGATTGTGAGCAACTGACCAATTCATTCCCAGGAGTTCTTGCAGAAGCAGTTGTTTCTTGAAGTGAAATGGAGTTTGGCCTTGGCATTTTGACTCCCTCCCCTCTCAAGGGCTGGGCATCTTCACAGGGTGTCTTGATGTTTTCTAGTTCAACAGAAAGAGTCACAGGATTACACGATGCCATCAAAGATTTGGGAGCACAGGCATCAGCAACCAGGTAACAGATAACGGTGAAAAAAGTGCAATATTCTACCTCAGCATACACACTCTTACTGTGCATACTTAAAGCAAAGGCTTTTACAATGGAAGGAAAAGTAATTTACTGTTACATACTACAATAATTATCATTCAATGAAGGAGTGGCAGACTCCAAATTTTCAAACATTTCAATGGAGGGAAAAGCATCTGTGACATCACTCAAGCATTTCTGTGACATTTCACCAATTCAAAATACATCACCAGCACATGTGTCCCTGCATTACTGGGAGCAGTAATGCAGGGACACCATTTGAACAAAAAAATCATTCTAACCTTCTGTCATGTACCATAAGTCACGTCATTTTTTTCACAGGCAAGTACTGATCAGATAGCTGCCTATTTCCCCAGTCCACATCTGGACAAACACATAAAATGACTGACCCTCACACCAGAAATCAAGGATTGCTTCCAGTTCTGCAGTTTCAGTAGACATTCTCTCTGCTGGCTTTTCTATAACTCTTCCCCTACTTGGGCCACTTGTGTCCTTTTCACTATTCAATCATATACAGAGAAGCCAATGCAGCTGCCAGCTCACTTCTAGAATATGTTTTCTACACCATGTTGACATATTGCAATTAAAAAAAAAAAGTGCTCTTTCGCAGGGCATATTTCTATGCTGTCAGCCATCCTCTTCCATAGGTCTCCTTTGCCCTGAACAAGTCCCTGTTAGTGAGGAAGGCACCTTGCGTTAACAAGGTGCCTAGAAAGATCTGTTTTCGCCTGCTTTTACTCAGCAATAGCCCTTTTCCCCCTTTATAATCTTCCAGTTGGAGCTCACTTCAGTTAGTCAAAGGAGAGAAGCAGCCACTGACTTAAGGAAATTCTCATTATAAACTGTATTTTAAATAAAATCAATTATGAATCCAAATATGAAATTAATAGCATCTAAACTGCTCAAAATTTCAGTCTTACCAAAATGATAACTTCACACTAATTAATTTTCTTTAAGTAGCATAGCAGTTAACATAATTCAAACCCACCAGTTAGATTTGTTTTCAGAACAACTTTAAAAACTAAAAATGCCTACAATTATAGGAATTATAAAAACAAGCAATAGTGAAAAATTTAAACCTTGATACCACAAGACTAGTAGAATCACTTTTCAGAATGCTCAAAGGAATAATTCCTGATTCCATCAAATTCAGTTGCAAGATGGTGGGTTGCACTTCTAAAACATATGCCACACAAATGAAAAGAATAAGGCAATTGGCACTAACATTGCTGCCAACAGGGAGCTAGCAAGTTAGCCAAGAACATTTGCTTACCTACTGTGCTTGGCTGGTAAACAGTTTTACTTGTGCTTAAGATTGGTTTTTGGGGTATACTTCGTTTCCTTATTCGGTCTATTAATGATTCAAATTCGTCATCTGAGCTATCTGATTCTACCTCTGTCCTTTGTCGTAGTGCCACAGTTGGCACTTTACTTTCTGTACTCTTTTCACAGCTTCTTTCTTTCCTTCTAGCAAGCAAGTCTGGACTGCCTCTGGAGATTGACTCTCTCAGATTCTGTGGAGGTGGGAGTTTTATGCACTTCCAACTCTCTTTCAAGTCTTTCACTCCCTCTTTTTGGTAGTCATGCCATGAACTTTCTACAAAAACAGAATCTTCAGTGTCTTCTTCACTTGAAGCCTCTGGATGCTGCCAAGAACTGCAGTAAGCGTTTTTCTTTCCAGAAGTCATCAACTTCTTCGGGGTCTGATGATCCTTCTGTGCTGCAATTCAAGAGAAACAGATTAAAGTTTTGGTAATTTCATTTAGGATACTTGCCTTTGTCTTAATACAAAACAATCCCTTGAAAGATAGGAAAACACAAAGAACAGAAATACATCTTTGCATTTTCTTTATTACACCCTGCTCATTTACCATCATACTAAATGGAAAGTCACTGAAAGATGTATAAAAAAAATAGCTTAAACCCCATGTACATATACATCAGCCATCAGGTCTAACAATCCTGAAAATGTAGCTAGCACTGGCATAATCTTCATTCCCAGTAATAAAAGTTATGTCAATGTAACAGTGAGGCTGAACATTTAATGTTAAAGTTTTATAAAACCACAAGGTGAAGGGTGACTTAAAAAATGCTCAGCCTTAGCTGACTAGACCATAGCCTACAGCACAAAGCACGCACTTGCCAACAAACAAGGCTTCTGACATCTCAGATTTGACTTATCAAGACCAAGGGATCATCATGTCAGATCTATTAGTGACTTTTTTTTAATCATGCTTCTGGTCCACCTTGCTTCCCCCATTGCTGTTCCCTCCTTGCTTTTCCCAAAAACCATTCCATTAGCTTTTTACAATCTGCAGCTGGCATACATGTCTCAGGGTTGACATTCACCTCAGCTGCAAGGGATCCCACCCTTCTTGATCAGAGATCATTTCGTAGAATCATAGAATCATTAATGATTATGTTTAACAAGCTCTCTCAGAAATCTATGAGGTCAGCAATGAAAGCTATCTTTCCACCCATTAAAATTCCTGCTTCATATTTGCTGTTGGACAATTACTTGCCATTCTTCGTTGTGCTCTTTCTCACTTTAAAGTCCAAGAAGAAATCATCTGAGTCATCAATTAAGTCCTTCAAACTGTAAAACAAGCAAATAATGTGGGAGAAGGTAGGCATAAGCGGGAAGATAAAGTGAGTTTGCCTTACTAAAAAAGCAAACTAAAAAAGCCACCCAATATAACATTATCAGTTGCTCACAGCAAATGTTACCAACTATATCCATTAATAGCAATGGCAATTGAGCATGTACACCTCCAAACATCTCAGTTCGCATTTGTCCTGAACATACAGATTGAACACATAACAGTTCTTCTGTTTGCAGTCACGCCTATACACGTATCCACCCATGAATCACTAAAGCTTTTGAACATTTTTCTGTATTCTGAATAGTAGATATGATACAGAAAACTAATATATAAACACTGAAAAGTCATTAATTACAGCACCCACCTTGCATCTGCCTTTTTAGAAACAGATTTGGGAGTTTTCATCCTAGCTAAAACTGAAACAGTAAGACATTAATTATGAACAAGGTTCTGGTTTTGTTATGCATTTCTTTAAGAGAAAAGTTTGCAACTAGTAAAAATCCAGTCTAAAGTCTTAAAAAAACCCAAACAACATAAGAATCCTTTACATATAATTCCAACTCTTAATTCCTCAAAGCCGACAGCAGCTGTCTAGCATTTCCTTCAATATTCAATCATCGCCCAGCACCAGACTCTGGTACAAAGAGGAGCAGCTGAGCTTGCTACCCTGTAGCACACTGTAAGTTAAAAAAGCATGGGATGGTACTGAATGTTGTCCTCTTTGAAGAGGTGCACAAGGTGGGGGGAAAAAAAGAATTCAAGACCTTGAAGCTCAAAAAGTATTTGGAGAAATAAGTTATTTTCAGTTTTAGCACCCAGTAGTCTTCACCACTACTTTCATTACAAAAGAAGTAAACAGAGCATCTGCTGCCTTCCAAGCTGCCACATCAGGGTGGCTCATTGAAGCACAAATGGCCAGCAGCTTTCCTAGATGATCATAACCGCAGTATTCCTAGACCATGAAGCAGCATCAAACTAAGACGGCTGGTAGCTGGTCACAGGAAACCAAAAGCTTACAGAAAAATATGACTTGCTACTTAATAAATCAATTCTCTTCAGTTCCCTGTCTCTTGACACATATTTTCATTTCACTCTCTCCTACAACTGTCATTGTAGCGATAGTACGACAAAAGAACAGCTCTGAAAATATTCTGCTCCAAGACCCAACTAGTTATTCTCAGCTGCCTTCCATACCAGAACTGACACATGACTTTGGACTAAGCAGCCTCACGGATGGAGGAGGCAAAAAGAAAGCAGCAAAAAAAAAAAAAAAAAAAAAAGCAGACTGAAAAATATTTAAGTTTTAAAAATTACAGGAACGTGAACAATGACCTAATGAATGAACAGTATTGGAGTAGTTATCAGATTTAAAAGCCCAGAGGTAGAGCAGGAACTATACATAGCACATTTGAATTCAACTGGACATAAGTAGTAAGGCTTGACAATGCTTAAGATCATTCACATGGCACTGAGCTGGAGTGCAGCATAAACTCTAAAATAACGAGAAATCTGCTTTAAAAGCTGCTGGACTAACACAACACTGATATGCAAAAGGCAAAATAAACAGATACGACTTGTTGCCTTACCATTTCTACGATCTCTGTTCAAATGTTGAATACGTAAAAAGGAACACATTGCAAGATTTACAAACCATTAAATTACTTACCAGTCTGAAACCCACTTGAGATGTGGTAGAGCCATGATTAGTCCATCTAAGGAATGAGCTAAATAGAACTCTTGCAACAGGAAAAAACCAGTGCATACTCAACTACCTTAGCACAAAATGATAGTCATAATGGCTATTATCAAAAAGAAAAATACAAATATCAGGTTTTGTACCTATAGGCTAAACATAAAGATAGGAAGTTATGCACAGCAGAAGCCATCATGTAAAATTTACTCTCTGATTCCATCTTACCAAGGCCTTGAGCCACTATGAAAAGCCAAAAACATCCCTCCGACTGGCTAAGACTCATGCAGCAAAAGCCGTGACACAAGAGGGAATTCTGAGTAGTTTAGACGTGTTTAGAACAGTAACTGCTTAGAGAAAGTGTTTGTTCAAAGATGCTCCATAGACTAAGAAGGAAGTGAGTGAGTGACAGGGAACAGACAAAGCTGAGGCAACAAGAAAAAATAACGCAAGGCAAAAAGCATCCAAGATTGAGATACAAGCTTCAAGAATATTCACTGTGGCATATAGCTAGCAACACTGCACTGCAAGGAGAAAATGTACTTTGCAGCAGGAGCAACAAAAGAAAACAATGCATAAAAACTATTTTGCTATAACGAGACAGAAATGTGTCCTTTTCATACTCCTTCAGACAACAAACTAACATGTGCTACTACTTACACATTTCAAATTCGTCATCACTGCTGGAAGAGAAGTACAGGGCATGGCTGCAAAAAATAAAATGCAGACTAGTATCAAGAACATTAGGTCAACAGCAAGTAGATCTGCATCTCTACTGGTCTGAAATAGCTGTGAACACTGAGAACCAAATATACACTGAAAAGACACTGAACATCTCAGATAGGCTCAACTGTTTTAAATTATTTAAAATAGAAATATTAGAGGTTGTATACTATAAATTTATAGCAACCATATACATGCAATATTCAAGCAGTATCAGTTGCTGTCAAAATTTGAAAGAGTGAACCGTTTGGAGACACAGGCTTAGGACATTACATTGGTTTAAGTTCAAATCAGGTATCAGAAGTTGGAAGGGATAGAAAGCTTGTTTCTCATCTTACATGTGGTATATAATCAGGAAGACGATGCTGTGTTGTATTAAGTCTGAAACCTCAAAACATAAAACAATGAGAAACAAGCTGCTTTTGTACAAAGTGCATTTCAATAGGATTGCTGTGAATATTTAGCAAACTGCAGTAGCTTTCATAAAGGTATGTTAAGGTGCAGAATGCATGCGTTACCACTCGGACTGCAACTCTCACGCAAATATAGAGGCAAGCCATAATACTCTTACCAAATTATTTCTTTCACTTTTTGACAAAAACCAGACATTTACAACTTGAAAAACACACTATGTAATTGCATAAAAATATGAATACCGCTTCTTTCAATTACATTGAAGTCACCCAAACCTCAAAGACTGTAATTCCGAAACATGCTAACATCTACCAATTATCATAAAACAATTGAGTGCGTGATCTAAAATTGTATTTAGATATGATCAATAAAAATTGAGGACGCGTGGGATGGGGCTGTCGCCCCACCGAGCGCCATCTCACC